TTTGAGAATTTTCAGTGTCCTAATTAATTGAATAGAGAAGTACTTTAATGAATACAGAAAAATTGTTTTCTGTGAACAGTGCCAAAACACTGTGGAGTTTTTAGTTTATCAGGAATAACCTCAGTATTTTCTGAACCTTAAGTTCTATTTCCAGTTTTGCTGGTGCTTCACTTCTGGAGAAATGATCTATGACTGTAAAAGATAGTGTAGCTCAACAACTCTAGCTGTAGTATGTCGAGTTGAAAAGGTTTTACAACTAGGGTTAACTTCTGTGACTGTAGGCATGCCACTTCAGTATTTGCCTATTTCTGAAATAAGTTGTTTCTTTCCCCCTTTCTTGCCTATTTGTTTTCCATCCACTTTCAAGGGGCTCAGCACTTGATACCAACTTGAAGGACATAAATCCAAGCACCTCACTGACCGTTTAGCTTTCAGTATTTTTCTGGGAAGATTCAAGTTATGGAGAGGTCTAGCTGCACTTTGTGGATCTGATGCATTTCCTACTTCTGTCGCTTTTCCTACCATTTCATTCCATCCATTTATAGGGATCTACGTCTTTCTTATAGGAGTTAAGTCTCCTTGACTTTACAGCAGCATATTAGTAGCGCTTTAAGGGAGTTTATCCCTTGCAGCAGCTGCGTTCACTGATGGAAAGACATTTACAGAATTTTAACGTATTCATCAAGTCAGACTGCAGACTGTCAGGCTAGGACTCCTGTTTATAATGAACTTACTATTTTAAAAAGGAGGATATTTGTCAGCCCTAAAATGAATGCTGCCCTCTTACATAGCATTGGGAAACCTGTAGTTTGCAGAGATGCTACTGAAGCTCTAGGAGAACTATGTATAGGGTGATAAAGTTGCTAAATCCTTCCTGTCATTTGGTTATTCTGCTTTCTAAAGATACCCCTTCCAGCTGGTGCTGCTGTGGACTAACTCTCTTTTGATCTTTATTTTTCTATGCAAGTCAAAATAAAACAGAGTTAAGAACATCTGTTCCCCTCAATGAGCAAACAGCAATTGAAATGTAAGGAAAATTGACTGTTTCTGGCTTTCAGCTAACAATCGAGAGCTGGAAGAAGCTCTTCTGTAAATTGGTTTTCTGAACAATTTCATTCTCCCCAGCTATTTAAAATCAAGAAACCTAAAACCAAGAAACAAACATTGTCTTCTCCCTCTGCCAGTGGGAGTCAGGGAAATGATCCCTCTGGGAGGGGTGAAGAGAAAACTGATAGAGAAGTGCTACAATGAAAACAATGCTAACTTTTGTGGTGGTGTTTCTTGTTTTTTGTGTGTAGTGTGTTTTGTTTGTGTTTTAACTCTGTTCGTTCTTATTCTGCTTTGCTAGTCTGCTGTAACTTTTCTAGGAAAAGAAACTTTTCCCATCAAGCTATGGTCAAGCCCACACTGCTCAATGATGAACTTCAAAAAGCACTAGTAGTTGCTTTTGGGAGCTGATTAAAATGACTGGATTTTCTGCCTAGATGCCTGCAGTTAAAGCAGCTTGGCAGTTCACTCCAAAAGTTAAAATTTTGAGAACTTTTTTTGGTATTTCTTTTCATTCCACATTAGAACATAGCCAAGGCCTTTCAAATTGAAGCATGAAATGGGTTTAGTGGTCTTGATTTGATCTATATTTTTCAGGTAACTGCACTGTAAAAACACTATGCCATCATTTTGCTGCTCTTCTCTCCTGTTTTTGATTCTCTTCTTCTGTACGTCTTAGCTGACCCTCAGAACTCGGGTTGCTGGTCTGTCCTACCCAGGCTTTCATCTTGGATCTCGTACTGGATGAATGAGAGAGCCGTTTGTAGGTTTTGGGGGTGTGGTGTGTGTTGTTGTCTGTTTGTTTGTTTGTTTTTTCTTTGGTCCCTAACCCCTCCTTGCCCCCTCAAGTCCTTCCTCTCAGAGAGAAAGCACTGTGGGGGGGTTCTGTGTGTGTGTGGTTTTTTGTTTGCTTTTTTTGTTTAAAGCACCTGGATATATTATGCTAGAAATTGCTTGGCTGGACAGCAGGGCAGTGAGTTTTTACCCTTGACTTGAAAGGTTCTGAAGTTAGTACTAATCTGAATCATGTATTTGGACCATGTATCAAGAAAACAAATGCCCTTTTTTGGCGTTGTAATTCCACTGACTTGCAAAGCAAAAACTGTTGACCGTTTGTCGTCTTTGTATCAGGTCTTGCTCTCCTCCCCCTCGAAGTTGCCTAGTCTACCTGGTGTTTCTTGCTTTTGTTCTGTGGTTTGTTAGTGGCTCCCCTTTACCATCTGAATTCAATGTAAAAGTGTTTTCTAACATCAGTTTTCTCCATGCATCAGAACAGGATTGTTTGCCGTTCCGATTGCCTCTTAATTAAGAGCTGTTCTGGCAGTATGCATGCTTCACTTATCCCTTTTGTTTTGTTCCTGTATTGCTGTTGTGATTGGGATGTTACAGTTCCTTGCACCAGTCGACCCTTTCTTTTTTTGTTTATTCCTGAAAATCCATTTTTAAGGTCTTTATATATATATATATATATATATACACACACACACATATATATATATATATATATAAATCCACTGATCAACGCAGCAAAAAAGATTTTGGCCGCTCGACCTCTGGAGATGGCCGAAGACAACGCCACCAGGGATTCCACTTTTTTATATATATATATATGTAGATACATACTTGAAGTCAGCGAAGAATCTACACACACTCATAAAACCATGTTTTTCATATCTTTAATTTATTTAGAACGTCCTACTGTTTCGTCCTCATTTAAAGAGCTAGCTTGGTTGCTGTTGTGCAACGTTCAATATAACGTTGAAGTTTTACAGACGCTGACTTATTCAAAAGCATCCTGGTCTGTATGGTTAAATAACTACTTACCATTTCCTATTTCTCCCATTCCAGGAAATAAGGAAGGATTGGGGCCCCTCTGTATTTAGGAAGGATTGGGGCCCTTTAAGGTTTTGTAGAGTATTTAGTACCTAAGAATAAACATTTGATGAAATAATGCAAGTTACTTTTTGTTCTCTATATAACACTTGCTAAATAGAGGTACTACTACAATTCAGAAGAATCATTAGAGCACTGGAAATAGCATATGCTTGTCTTTTTTTAAGGTGTAATGTTGGAGAAAGAGCCATATGGTCCTACATAAAGATCTGGATACTACAAAGCTCTATTTCAGAAAGAAAAAAAAACACTGAACAGTATTTATAATTTTCACCGCTTGTTCTTGAATATGCCTATTTAGATTTGTTACTTAGTACCTTAACAGTTATATTAATAGAGTTGGTATTTTGTGATTCGGTTTGGATAGGGTATAGAAAAATCTTTCTGAAGAAAACTAGTTATGAATTCCCAAACAATATTTTATAACTGAAGTTCGGCACAAAGTGTCTGAAAACATGTGAAGAGTCTCTTTGATAAAGAAAGAATCTGTTGACCTTAGTTTGGGGAGCAAGGAGGGAGAATGGGTTGGAAGATTTCACAATTCAACTAGAAGCATCTACTTATATAAAATTGACTTTGACTCCTGTAATGAACAGGTAAAACTTTCCAGAAAAATACTTCTCTATAGCAAAGACAGGGAACTTCTCTTTATACACATGTGCATAGTCTTTTGTCCTGCATTCATGCCAAGTCAGAATCGGAGGTTCCTCCCTCTCCCCCACAACTCCACTTTCCTTCCTGTGTGTTGACTGTTGGTGGGAGGCTTTGAGAGGAGCAGGGGGAAGAAGGTCTGTTGCCCACTTATCTGGAGCCCAGCAGAACAGCTCTTCCTTATGGACACTTGAAATACAGCCAGCCTTAGCAAAGAGATCTCTTGCAGGATTTGCCAACAAATTAGTTGAAATTGTAGAGTGGATGTGAAGGCTGGTTAAATAAATGTTTCTTTTTTTTAGCAGTTGATTGATGGATTCCAAACAAAAAAGCTGTATTGTCTGGTCTGTGAACAACGGAAGTATTAGACGTCATTAAAAATGTGTGTTCATTTTTGGGGGTTCCAAATTCCAGAAGAAAATAGTTACATAAATTACAGGATAGTTGAGGTTGGAAGGAACCTCTGGAGATTGCCTAGTACAACCCCCTAAATTATTTTTAAAACTCGTATATACCTTTTTCTGTGCATAAAGTGACTTATCCATATATAATGTACATATCTACATAAAAGTCATTCATTTCAAAGAAAATATGGGAGTTTTCTAGAAAAGTCTCTCTTGACAATGCTAATTATATTGTGATGTCTGGACTAGTCATTATATCAGTTTGACAAGCAGTTTTACAGCTTTAAATAGCAGTAGGAGTGGTCAATCATTTAAAAAAGAAAAACCTGCTAAATCAAGTGTACTTAAACTTCCTTTGGTAAATATTGAGAAGACTCTAGATCTGCTGGAACAGAGTATTAGTTATGTAGGTATGTAGCAGATTAATTGCAGAGCTGTGCAGCGTGTGGGTATTGCACATAGTGAGAAATGTCACTGTTATGAAACTCTATTTTATTCAGAATTGAAATAAAACCTGAAAAATTCCATAATTTACTAAGAGAAAATCCAAATCTTTTTGATGCCCCTTTAAAATATATCTGAAAAAGGGTGTGTGGGGGGGTGCTGGATCAATGAAAGTGTCTCCATTTATAATATGAAACTCTACGCATAGTATGTAAACAGTTGTGAATCAAAGCCACTTCAAAAAAGGTTTGAAGTTGTTCTTGAAAATGGTTGTGATTTGGTTTTTTTGCTTTTATTTGCTTGGTTTTCTAAGTTGTTGGAATTGACTTCTCATTCTGACTTTCACATGGAAAAATAATTGAAATTGTATGCCTCAAGATTTTTCAATCACTTCTGTATCTTTTAGAAATATATTATTTCCTGTGAAAGTCAGTGACATTGAAGTTATGCCAAAGGTACAGTCCTTGATATACTAAGGAATCTAATGTTAAAATATTGTAATTATGGATCCTCTGTTCCAGGATTTGAAGATCCTTATTGCTGTATCTTATTTTATTCCAGCTATCTATGAACTCTCGTGTGAAGCATACAAACACTTGGGCAAAACTTCAAATAACTACTGGATAGATCCAGATGGCAGTGGGGCACTGGGACCTTTGAAAGTTTACTGCAACATGACAGGTAACTACATTGTATTCACTAATTAAATTTTTGTAATGTAGTTGTGACAGAGGGGTCTGTTCATAATTCATGTTTCTTGGCAAAAGAGAAAGTTGTCAAAAGTTTTTAATGAGAGAGACCATTAAAACTGCAGTCACCATTCAGTGTAGTCTGGGAAAGGCAGCAGCTGATCCATTTCATAAACTTTTTGAAGCACAACTTTTAACATTAAAAGGCATTTGTATCCACTGTGGTGAATACAATAAAAATACAGCCATTCACAAAAACTGTCATTTTAAAAAACATTTGTAGAAAATTAGTTTAGTAATGTCTGTTTCATGGGGTACTTGAGAAGGCAGCTTTCTAGGAAGGTCATAATTTTGTTTCTCTCCAGGTATTACTGACTTCCCAGAATATGTAGGGAATAGAAATCATTTATGAGTAAAATTTGGGGATTCCTGTTTGTCTGTTTTCTCATCTTTCTTTTAACAATGGTTAGAATGACTTATCTTGCTTAACTTCTGAGACATTATGTATCACTGCATTAAACTCTTTTGATTTCTTATTTTCTTCTGCGTTTAACACTATTTTTGCATGGATAACTTCTCATCACAGGAATATCCTGTCTTAATCATCAGCATTGCCATCCTGAGGTAGAAGAATATGATGGTGAAAAAACACAAAGGTTTTTTTTCATTTCTGGGAGTATATTTTTTCCTTTGGTCTATTAATACGTGACACAGTCATGTTATCACTTTTGTCCTCATGCGAAATATTGTGCAGCTGATTCAAGAGACGTATCCACTGACTTTCCTGTAATATCTGCATAGTAAGTTCAAGAGTTGCATTTGAAACCTGGCACACATCTGATTCATCTGACTTCAGGATCAGCAACAAGAACCTGAAGGTGCTATCACAGGTTGAAACAGTAATTCTACCTCTCTAGATATCACAGTACACGTTCTGCCTCTCTAGAGATTACATTAATCCCATAGAGCATTCCCTGGATGCAGAGACCTATAGGTATTTGGACCTAGGTGTGACTTGGCTGGGACAAATCCAGACCAAAAAAATATCCAAAAAGGAGGCACAGGCAGCAGACCCCAGAGCAAGTGCTCCTAGGTAGACAGCCTGTGGGAGAACAGGAGAATACCATTGTTTAATATTGCTGTTAAGTGCTGTGTCCTAAAAATAAACCTGTGCTCTGCGAGGTTTACTAATCTTTTTTGGACCAGGAAGACAGGCCAGCCAATCTGTACTGAGACACAGGTGTAAAGGCAGTCATTCAGATAAGTGGATCCTTACCCGTGTAGGGCTTTTTAAATCAGAACCAGCACCTTGAACTGTATCAGTAACTAATCAGGCAGGCACTTCAGGGAACAATGCCAGAAACTTGTGATGTATTATAGTGATTTCTGCTATTCAGAAGAACTGCTGTATTCAGCACAAGCTATAGCTTTTAGGTAGCCTTCAAGGATAACTTGTAGAGTAAAAATGTACTGCAGTAACGGTGTTAGGCATGAACAAGTACACCCATCCAGGACTATGGCATCACTCATTCATGCTAAAATTAAATACCCAGAAGAGTGCCCTAGTAGTCTGTCCAAAACTAGAGAAGAAAAAGTTAAGAAATATTAGGAAGATGAAATCGCTACTTTCAATTTTCTTATCTACAACACAATTTCTGGAATAGGTATATACATAATTTTCTTAGCCAGTGGAAGGATATAGTGGTGAATAGTAGGATAGATGACTTACTGCTCATTCTCTTCTGTGGTGTAGGTCATAACCATATGAAGTTTTCGGCTTTAATGGCATCACTCTCAGCAGCAACTCTTTATTACGAAAAAGACATTTTGCATTAATATGAATATAATTCTCTATTTAAATATAAAAATAAGAACCTGGTGGAACTACTTCTTCATTGAAATGCTAATGACTGCAAGAAGCATGTGAAAATTGACAAGAAGTAATTTAATCTCTACTTCTAAGCGTGGAAGGCCACTCTGACAATCATTATTCTCATAGCTTAGCAGAACGTTATAACACATCACCTGTATGCATACTGTCAGTACCTGTACATTCTAGTTGTTACAGCTTTTATTGTCTTCTAATTAGCAGTCGTCTTAAACACTGAAGACCCTGGGGGGCTGGGATATATTTTTCAGTAGAAAATTCACAACCCCCTAAATCCTGCTCTGTATTGATGTACACTAGTATCTGTGAAATAGGAACTAGAAAAAAGAGACGGAATGAAGGCCTGACTCTGTTTCTTCAATAATGCATTTCCATAGCACTCTGTAGCAATGACATATCTCACATTATGACAAAAGGTACTATAACATGTTAGAATAAGAACAGAATTATCAAATAGTTTTAGTATAAAAAATGTACAGCTTCATGACCTTATTAGTACTGTATTTGAAACAGAGCTTAAATTAACTGAGTTACTATTAACTCATCAATGAAGGTGAACCTAAATAACCTACAGACCTAGCTACAGTGGATGCAATGCAGAGTATAAAAAGCGTTTAACCTCTGTATGTGGCAGGATAGTTGTATTCTTTTTTTTAATAGAGGTGTCCTTAAATATTGACAACTGTACTTTCTTCTCTGAGAATCAAATCTGAATGTTCCCATGGATGCAGTATTTATTAAATAAACATCTCTGTCTTAAAGCACCACTTAAGATGCTAATAGATGCTTCAAATATTCCTTGCTTCAGCCCAGTAGAACTGGCAAGTTAGAGCATCTAACTGTTGGGGCTGAAAGGGTGATGTAACTTACTAGTTTGGCTCGTAGGGAATACGAATCTACAAGAAGATTGGGATTTTTAGCAAAGGAGGTACCTATTTTCCTGAAAACAAGATGACTTAACCATTATGTACTGGTATGACATTTACTATAGCACAGTATTACAGGTGCAAAATACTGGAGAGTAAGCTGCATGCTCATTTGACCATAAACCTTCAGGGGGAGGGATAATATCCTAAAAAGCTATGGAATTGTATATCTGGAAATTGGATCTCTGCCTCTTGAGTACTGTATCACAAACTTAATGGTTTCCGTGGCTTCTACCATTATGTCATCCTTTCACCTGCTAATTCTGTAGCCGGAATATGTTAGCAATCCTAAATGTGTCAATAAAGTCTCCTTTTTAAAAACGTGAATAAAAAATTACAGTTCGGTGGACAGGTGTCTGGGCATATTTCTGGGTTATAATTCATGTCAATATCTTTAGTGTGTTTTGATTTAGTAGACTGGCATATGTCATGTTGATGAGGCCTGCCCTTCACAGATGTCCCTGTGGTAACTGAAAAATGCTCTCATTTCTAAGATATCCTTGGCTATTCAAGAGTGTGATCAAAGTCTTAAAAATGCATGCATATACACATACACTTCCAGAAGCTATACACAGTGCCTACAAATTCTTTTATATTGTCAAAGAAAACATCCCACCCCACCATACTCTGGTCCATGTCTTCTCCCAAGCAAATCTTATATCAACAATTCTGTGCATCAAAATGGAAGAACTGCACACTTAAATTTTGTCCTCATACTTTGGTATTTCACATTTAAATATTTGTTTCTGTTGTATTAACAATTTTTTCCCAAAATTGTAATGCCTTTTCAGCAGTTTTCCAAAAACTTATTACTAGAAACTATGTAAATTTTAGTAAGATTTTCTTCCCTCCCCCCCCCCCCCCCCAAAAAAAAAAAAAATTGAAAATGTTCAGCCAGTAGTAGCTGAAACTTTCCAAATGAATGCACTTGTGGAAAACTGTCCTTGAAGCTGTAATGTGATATTCTGTGTGACAATTAGACTGTTCTTCAGGTAAGGCCAAATTATGGTCTTAGCCCTGTAGGGAACTCTTCCAAAACTCTGTCATCTTAAGCTGTGCTCTTATATTATTACCCTGTTTCACAGACAAGCCCACAGTGCAAAGTTAGGCTCTGGATTCAGGTAGGATTTCCCCAAGATGGAAGGTTCCCATCTCGCCAGCTGATTTCAGTCCATTCCTGTTTTCTCTCAATTGTCATTAGGATAATAGCTAGAATGGAAAGAGCTGCAATTTTAAAATATTTATTGGAATATTTTGAACTTTGAATCTATTATAGCTTCTTCCTATGCTCACATGACTTCTGCTATTTCTGAATCTCTAGACTTGATTAGACTTCCTTTCTCAACTTTCCTTTCAGTCCTATTGAGAGCAATGCATGAAATAAGTTAATGTTGCTCCCTAGTGTTTTCCTCTGTTTCTTCTGTCTTTTTCTCCTTTTCCTCGGAAGGAGGAAGATGGTCAGGTCAAGTCTGTTTAACCTGCTTATGTCTGCTGTGTCTGTCCTGCAAGACCCTTCCAAGGGGAGGGGTGGGAGGAAGCAGAGGACCCATGCACAGAGACCATAGGTGTATGGTTAATTTATGCTAATGGCTGCATGGAATGTCCCTGGAAGAGAGTGACCAACACTTCTTTTGATGTTCATTAAGGCTTTAGCCCTAGGGTTGGGGAATCATAGTCTTTCTGCTTCATCATGTAAACCACTGATGCAAAGCAAAACTGAAAGGTTACATAATCTATTTTACTAGGAGATATGTCAGTTTATTCTTTCTGTTGGTCCCTTTTGCCTCTGCAATCTGGCTTTTATCTCACTTCAGTATTGAAATAGCTGCAAGCATAGTGGCTCTATTTGAATGGTTCTTGCCCTGTCCCCTTTCTAGGACAGTTCTCTGCCTGAAGCTGCACAACCTCAAACACTTTGAGAAATCATGCGCGTTCATAGCCTGCCTCGTTTAGGTCAATTGTATGGGATCTTTTCTCTGCCCACTCTCACTCTCCCTCCCATCTCTTTCTTTGCATTTTCTAATACGAGTGGCACGTGTAATAATTACTGCAATGACTTTGTGAGTAGGCATTAAACAACCGTAACTGTCGTATCCTGTAATTTTCTGTCTCCTTGTTGTAAATAGTGGGTCACTAAAGTGCTTTCTACTATGACATATGTAGAAACATATGGCATGA